CGCAGAAGAGAGCCTCAAGGATCTTGGAGTGTTTGAGAGTAGATAAAGGAAAGCAGGTTTCGCAGAGCTTCAGCGGGAGGAGTATGGGGGCAGCGGTCTCCGCTCCCATTTGTGGGTCTTCATCGTCTTCTTCAAACCCGAATGTGGGTTCCAAGGAGTGTATGGAGGACGAGGAGGACACGATGAGTGAGGAGAAGAAAGCCGTGAAGCAATTAATCCAACAGAGTTTGCAAGACAACATGAGAAGGATCGTAAAGCGGGCGAATTTGCCGCAAGATTTCGTCCCGTCAGATCATTTCAAGTCGCTCACCTCGAGTTCAACCTCGAAAAGCTTGCCGTTTTGAGGGAATTAGAGCTGCCAATGAAGATCTAGAGATTGAAAGTGAAGAATTTGTGAAGTTAGTAGTCTTGTGTTCTTACTTCAATTCCAACTTCTGGTCTGTTGTAGCTTTTGTTAGTGTATGTATTTGTTCAAATCTATATAGTGCTTGTAATTATTATCCGAGTAAAGGAAACTTCAATAAGATTGTCTGATCAGTTAATTTGTCCGATAATTCAATATTAGTAATAAAAAATGTGTATTGACACGTTATCAACTATCAACTTGTTCTTCATAAGATTGATATTCTCGATACTTTAAGTACGTAACTGTCAATAATGTGTCCATATATTTGTCAGCGAAGGGTTTATGTAGTAAGAAATCATGGGATTTGACTCAAGTTTTTCCCGTGAGATGATGCGATCACCTTCAACAGAGATTTTTTCTCAGTGGCAACGAACGGAAAATGAGAAAATACAAGGGGTGATTTGGTCATAAAACATTTTTCCCTGAGCGTCCCCACAATCATGAGGTCAGTTTTCAACTCACACTCACAGTACAGTTTTGTCCAACCAGTTGGACCCACCCAAAAAATAAAATTTGCTAATTTCACAATCAGATCCATTCAAAATTTCTATGTCCGGAGCGAGCGAAGATCCGGACCATTTATTCAAGAGAGAAAAAAAGATTCGGACCATTCATTCAAGAGAGAATCTCCAAAAATCGGACTGATCAAGTTTTTGGTTTGGTAGAGTTGGGCAGTAAAATGGGCTAATGAGATTGTAATATTGAAGTTAAATGTTTCGAATTTCTTGGTCCGCGAGATCTAATCTTAAGTGAATTACTGATGGAAGGGTTGTTGGCCATTTCTAATGCATATGATATAGTGACTATTCAGGACCTTTCTTTGGGAATTAACTTCGTTGCTAAACATTTCAGCAGGAATTCCTACTTACACTCAATCCTAGATAGATAAGTGTCCAAATTTTGATTAAAAAAATCAAAATTTGAACACGTGTCCATCCGGGATTGGATGTACGCAGGATTTCCTACTGAAATTTCAGCACCAAAGTCTTGTTCTCTATGAGCATTTGGGAATCTTTCCCTTGTTGTTTTTTGTAATTTAGGTCTGAAAAAAAAATGAATTTATTACATAATTTGCAGTAAGGATAATGTGGATTGTTAATGTTAAGCATCTCCTTCACTTCTCTCGTTAGTTTAATACTGTATAATTACCTTCTTAATTATGTATGCTTTGACGTTGTTTGCTGGTTTTTCTATTTAACAATTTATTTACAGATCTAAAGAGAAGAACGTGATCGACAGCTGTTCGTCATTAACGGAAACCATCGAGTATTCGTGCTCAACTGATTTACATGTAAGGAGTTAATATTTTTTTCATATAATTTTTATGGCGGTAGAGAGATTTTTTAAGATGCCCAGACCACGAGACGGTATTCAATATGTTATATAAAATTGGTGATAAATTTTTTTTCCAAATATTCATTTACTTGTATAATAACATATAACGTATGCATCCGTATTTTTCGGTATACTAAAAACCTCTCATTTTGGAATTCACCTCGGTATCTTTTGCTTTGTCCTTGAGTAACTTTCCATTTTTAACCAGTGTCCTTACTTTCCATTTTTTACCAGTGTCCTTTGTAAATGTGCAATAATTTGGTTGGCCCATTGATCGAAAGATGCAGTAAATTTGATTTTATGATTTACTTTTAGAGTAATGATATTCATACTATGTTTTTATACCATATTTTCATATCATTTTATGAAGTATCTGATGTGGACAATCACATCATTTGAATTAATCAGATTTTTAAATTTAGTTCATTATTTAATAAACTAATAATTAAGAAAAACTAGTTAATTAAATGATGGTATACGATGAGTTTTTCTCCTTCCTTTCCTTGAGTTTAGCAAATTTTTTAAATGATGTGGCTGTTCACATTAGATGCCACCTAAGGTGGTATATAAATGTGGTATAAAAATATGGTATGAATAACATTACTCTTACTTTTATCCATAGAGTATTTTTCTAGAGAAGTGTTATTGGCACTCTAAAAATCTCATTCTACACTCCTCACAAGTGTATTTTTGTTTTCAATATAGAAAGTTTGGAGTGTAAAATGAGATTTTTAAAGTGCTAATAACAATTTCCTTTTTCTAACTCAATTAAAAACACATGGAAGCAACTTACGTGAAACACGCTTCAGCACTATGTGTATGTGACATTCCCAATTTAAAAGTGTTATGTCAACAGAGAGAACCGTGCATGGCGCAAAAAAAGGCACACATAATATTGTATTGTTGGACTAAAACGTGCATGTATATATTTAGTTTTTTAAATATACACGATATTCTACTTCGAGTCCATGTTAAGAAACAGAAGGCAAGTTTGAAGAGGAAGACCATAACCATCAAGACAACTCACCGCTCGCAGTCCACTAATATTTATTTAGTACAAATGTATTTATTAACGTAGAAGTGGGTAGGTTGAGCACGAGGGCCTCTGCAGCTCTGGATTGACCAGCACAGTATATAGTGTGATTTGAATTGTTTATAAATGAACACACAAACTGCAAATGCATGAAGGTGCTTTCCGGTGAAGGTAGGTCAAGATTTTAAATGCCATTATGTTTCTAGGCAATAAGAACCGTTTCTTTACCAAAACAACTTCACAGGAACTCAAGGAGGATCCCCTCCGGATCCTGTTTGTGAGAATTCTAAAGACCCTCCAATCACATCTATTCATCAGACATCGTATATCGTGCGATTAAAAATTATTATAAATTTTTTATTTAAAATTAAATAAAAACCTATACCTGACAAAAACTGATCTCACGAAAGTACGATTAGCAGATGTGATTGAAGGGTTATCGGGATCCTTACAAAGAGAATCCAACGAGGATCCTCTCTCATAGGAACTGATCTAAAAATAGGGTTTTGCTATTAATTAATTGGTATATTAAGTGTGTAAGTTGCATCCTTCCATGATAAGTGTAATTGATTTTTGGGTATGCCAAATAATTCGGTTAATATAATATGATAATTGTTTGTCATTTTATTATTGGACAATTCCTTTGGCCAAAATCTAATTATTTTTAAAGTCAAATTCAAGTCCCAAAACATTTTTTTTCTCAATTTTTTATTCTTTTAGCTCATATTGTGTAGCCTAAAAGTGTCATGAAATAAACTAATTATCATTTATCTTTATGGAATTTACTTTTTAGATAAAGTTTAATTAATAGGAAACTGTTATTAGCATTCTAAAATTTTTATTTCACAATCTTCATTAGTGTTTTTCTTTCTTTCCAAGTATAGAAAGTTTGGAATGCAAAATAAGATTTTTGGAGTAGCCAATAACAATTTCTAAATAATATTAATTACAATATATATAAAATTATACATAATGTAGTTATATAATATTGGTTACATATGGTATACTAGCGTTGATGGTTTTGGATATCATTACGATACTGAAAATGTATACTGTGGTACAAATACTATGTCACTACAAATTGTTGCAAAATTACAATACAAATTTGGTATGATACGGTTAGTAATTTAATTAGTATAGTAATTTGGTAAAAAATTAAACCCCTACGTGGAGCCGTGAAGGGACCCTTTCCACTTTCAAATGCGGGAAAATTTCAACATTTAATTCCAACCATCCAACTAATCAAATTTAAGTATAATGCTGGGCAAACCAAATTTTTACGAAATTTGAAAACCATATGATGTGTCACCAATGGAAAATAAAAACATTAATCAACACCTAAATAATAATTCAATCGTTAACAACCACGTCATATGATTTACAAAATTTGATCCAAATAGTTAGTCGATTTAGCTTTACTCCAAAGCTAAACTTTTTAATATGCCTCCCGCCAATAATTGGCCAATATTTTAGTTGGGAAATCTCTTTTGAATGTGTAAGTGGTGGAGGGAGTAGTTTTAGTCACTATCTACCATTATTTTCCTTTCCAATGAGCACACTTCTAGTTTGATGTTAATTCCATCGTTTGTGGAAAACTTCGATAGAGCCGCATGGTTAGTTCAGCTTTTATTTTGGTGTGGGATCGGCAGGGCCAAAGGCCCAAAACACACGTGGTTCATATTTTTTGTGAAAGGTGTCCTACAATTAATGTGATTAAGAAGCTAACTCAAGGTTTTTCTCAGTAGCAAATTTGGTAAGACCAAAATACAAATGATCTATGTCACCTCTTTCTGTGGAGTTCTTTGTAACTTGACTTGGTTGGGAAAGTTCATAAAACAGGGGGAATCTATGAGTTGTAAAAAGGCACCGTATTAACATGTCGCTTCAACAATGACTAAAAACGCTTTCAGATAGCAAACAACGTTATAAGAACATTTAGCAGAAAAAACTAAAAACGACTTGTGAATTGTAAAAGCAGTAAGCGGTTTTTAGTGCTTTAAACACCTACCTAGTACTTTACCAGAAAACACTTAAAATCTTTGATAAATACAATGAGTGATCAATCAAGGTAGTGATTTTCGTACTCTTCTTTTGTCCCCATGCATTGCTTCATGTTTTTTAAATTTCTAGTATAATAAAGGAAAACACGCCGAAAAATGCAAATGGGGAAGAAAAGTACCCAAAAAAATGACTAATGTTCTGTTTATTTTGCAGCAGTTGGAACAATGGAAAGAACAGCTCGAATTATTTGATTACTAAAGCAGTATAACACAAATACAGGGATTTATGAGTAAAACAGTATTAACGATAAAAGGTAACAGATGGTAAATCTTAAAACATATTTGCTTCATTAGAACATCCTACTACAACTGTTATGGGACCAGGTACCAGCTACCAAAAATTCCAAAACCCGTGTACCTGTTTTCATAGAGTTATTCGTCCTAAATGACCAACTTCTACTTAGTTTCGGTGACTGGAAGGTACACGCCTTCTGATGCCAACCAAACGTTGTCAGCGCGTTTATCTTTCACACCACAAACCTGCATCATGGCAAATGGATTGTATTAGCACAACTTTAATAATAAATCCAGGCATAAAGTTCAGCCGACACATTTCCAGGCAACACAAATAAAATCGTCTACAACTGCCTTAGATAGATATGACAATTGTATTTAAAATATTATTTCTTGCACATTTTAACATTCAGAAAGATTGTCACTAATGACTTTCAAGAAGATGAGTGACGCAATCGTCTATGCTTAAGTTGAGACCCAGATTCATATTTCCATTAAACTACAGAACTTTGTATAATTGCGTGATGATGAATACAAAATACCACCAGAAGATTTCATTACCAACCGTAAGTTAATCCTCGTCAGGACATCTAACTATCAAGTTTAGGACATAATTAGTAATGAGCACCATTATCAACAATGCAAGCTCAATATACAAATGAAACAAGCGAAACAAGTTAACAACATATTTGTAATTTCATTCTCATTTTCGTAGATATGTGGTTGAGTTTAAGTTATCTCACCTCCTGCTGTCCCCCAGCTATGCGGGTGTACTTCTTGTCATGACTATGTAGATAAGCACCTGTGTCAACATGCTGCAGTCGAACCCTTTGATCTTGCTTCCAGGTCTTCCCACTCCCTTCAATTGTCAGCCTACAAAATGCCATACCAACACAATGCATCAGAAACACCGATGAGTGATGACCAAGACAGGCAAACTTGTTACGAACATATCAATTTGCCACTCACCTCCAGTGATCACCGGTATCAGATTCATTTTCTCCCCCAAAGCAGCTCACCTACACCCACATCAACTTATACAAGTCACTAAACCTAGTAACAATCCCAACCTCGTTTATAATCGGAAGGAAAGAGATTAAACTGTCTACAAATGATACTCAAAAACTCCATAGACAAATCAAGTCACAAACTTTATGCCATTTGACGCGTCACCCCAATTCGTAGTTACAAACGAAAAAGTAATCAAAAACACAACCACACATAAAATTTGGTAAGAAAAAGAAAGATTTTCCAAACCTCTTGGTTGCCAGTAATGGGGGATGCATGCAAGTGGCTGTGCAGCCATTTCCTAGTCTTCATGTGCTGCAACCTGATGATTGTCCCGCTCGGAATGCTATCGCCTTGCTTGGCAGATGTTTCCAGCTCAGGTTTAACAATCTGCAAAAAACCCAGTTCAATATCTGCAACAAAACACCACCAAATACACAGAGACTGCGAGAGAGAGAATAAATCGACATACCCAGTAGCTATTAGCGTCGTCGACATTGGGAAAACCAGTGACAGACTGCTGACCGCTACCAGAGCCATACGGCACGTCGTGTGAATGCAAGCGAAACTTGGTCTTCTCGTGCCTCAGCTTCAACACGGTGCCGTACGTGACCTGCCCAGATCCCATTTCATAGTATCAAAATCTCCAAACAAAACAAATAAAAAATCTAACCGGAAATGGGCGGCGGAGACGAACCTCAACGCCCTCGGTGGTGGAAGCGGTGGCTGCGTAGCCAGTGTCCAGATCCAGGTTGTAGATGAGGAACACCGCTAAGCAGAAGAAGCCGATCGCCATAGCGAAGAGTAATCCTACGAACCAGTTCTGTTGCCAGAAGGGGAAGTCAGGCTCCGAAGCCCGGCTGGGTATGATGACTCGCCCCACGACCCGACGCGGCTGGGCGGACGACGACGGCGTGGAAGAATTGGAGGGTTTTCTTCGCGTCAAACTCGGCGAGCCTGAAGACGCCACCGTGAGACTTCCCTGAAAAGGGAATTCGAATTCTTGATTTGGAAAATGCGAATTTTGGGATTTCGGGGTTTCGATCTCTCTCTCTCTCTCTCTCGTCGTCTGTGATTTGTTAATGTGCCTGTTTTTCTGTACGGCGGGCACTGCCACTGTGACATGTATTCGGCGAATGGGAGGTTCACACGTGGACGTTTGAATGACATGGAAGCTTGTTAGTGGACGTATCGTGTAAAACCACGTTGCGGCCCAAATACTTCTAGCCAGCGTTGAAATATTGGGCTGAGCTTTGTTGGGCCTGTTAATGGACTGGGTACGATTCAAGCCCATTATCTTTGATACTCACTAGCCCGTAGCCGGCATTTTTCCCGGGGAGCATTTTTTTTACTTTTCTTTTTATTTATTTTAAATTTTCTGCACCTCCTCTTACCTTTTAGGCTTTGAATTTTTTTGTTTTTTGTTTTTAACGGCTGTGTTAGAGCTAAAAAAATATAATGGGTAAATGAGTTTGAAATTGATTTACGTGTAACACGTAAAAACCAAACTACACCAAAGAGTTTGAAATTCATTTATCTTTAAACTCAAGGTGTTGCGTTGGTATCCCTCCTTCCAAAATTTATTTGTTACTTGTACATAAAAGCTCCAACTTTCTGTTTATACACCACCAAAGCATGACATGCAAGATTATAAACGTTACATGACTGGTGACTTGTTGCGATGTAACAAAATATCCAATAGATTCTAATTAAATTGATGAACAATACTCAGTCGCTCTTGATTTATGTTATGCTACAAACATTAAAAAAAAAATGAATTAATTTTCCAATTCTATAAATAAAATTTTCTTAATAATAGTTTTGGTAATAAAAGTTTCCATAATTGATAGATATATAAGTATATAGAACGACCTCCCTCTCTCCCTAATTACACATGATTTTTTATTATTCATCCCTTTTTCCCGCTCAAAATTTGAAACCTTTATCTTTACTTAGAAATAAGAAATTTAGAATTTGGCTAATATTTGTATCCTTTCTATCTCTAGAACAGGGGATAAAGTTATTCCAACCTGGGAATCCGGGAGATCTCGTGATTATAGTCGTTCATTGTACATCGTGCGGTCATAAATAATTTGAAATTTAAAATTTAAAATTAAATATAAATAATACCTAATGAAAATTGATTATACGATGTACGATGAACGATCATGATCACAGGATCCCCAAGACAAGGATCCGGCTAGAATCATTTTCCCCCCATATATGATCTAGTTTTACATCTTAGTGCTCAACTAATAAATAGAGATTGAGCTTCGCGTCAGAATGAGAATCTCACATGGTGATGACATCATGATTGTTCCAATGATATATTCAATCAAGACAAGGGTAAAAAAGTGGCAATTGTTATATTTTATTTTAAATTAGTCTAATTAATGAGAAAATGAGATTCAAACTCGAATGAACAACATGGAGCATATTCACTCTAACTAATGCAGCTAGCTTTATGCGTGATGCAAATTTCGATCACAAACATTTAGGACTATGATATTTGTAAGAAATTTACTTTAATACGACGATATTAAGTGAGTTAGAGAATTCGAATCGAAGACTCTCAATACAACCATAAACACTCTTAACCACTTCACTTACACATCTCATTGCATAAACAGTTCGACGAATATAATATAATATATTTCAAATGTCGATTCTTTTTTTATCCACTTACCATAAACTTAGAAAATTCTTTCGTTTTCAATAATTTATTCACTTGAGCAAAAATAAAAAAGGTCTTCCCAAGAAAAAGGAAGAGCAGCATCAAATCCTACGGTCCAAGGACGCCAGGTGGTCCCCACAGGAAAGATTCAAAGGCGGATTTGAAATCCGAAATTGAACTCGAATTCACAATCCCGCGGATTCCGAAGGTAAAAATAAAAACCAGAGGGATCCATCGCTCCACGATATTTTATTTTTTAATTGCAAAAAAAATAAAATTCGAATAACTCTCTCTCTCTCTCTCTCTCTCTCTAAAAGGAAAACCCTAACTTTCTCTCTCCAAACAATTTTTGCGATTTCTCTCTCTTCGATTCGTGTGGTTCTGGGTCTTCAATGGTGTGAGATTAGGGCTAGAGCTGCGAGATTGTCAAGGATCTAGAGCAAAGAAACAGGAGAGGGGAGGAAAATGGCGTCGGCAGAGAAGGAGCTCGAGGCACAGCTTACGGAAGCTGGGAATCAGCTCTTGGAACCTCCGTCTTCCGTCGACGACCTCCTTGATGTTCTCGACGTAAGCCCTGATTCCTCTAACAATTTTTGGGTTTTCTTCTTCTCTTCGTATTCTGAAGTATTTGCGTCTCAGTTGCTTTCCTTCCGTGGGTTTTGTTTATTAAACTGAGTACTGTGTGATTATTTGTAAATTTAGTGAAATGGGAATTCAATGTTATTGTTCTGAAACCTTCTGATGTGGGATTCAAGTGGGTTTTAACATTTCCATTTCTTTTCTTATGATTTGTGCTAATTTTTTTCCGCTATTTAAATCCTGGGCTGCATGTTCATGTGTTTGGTATTGCTTGGATTAAGCGTAGATTGGGGCAATACTTTCATATGCCATGCAGGAAGTTCTAGCTAGCTTTTCAAAGCTGGAATTTTGTGTTTTAATGAGGTTGAGGGCGAGGGGTTTGAGTCTCTAGCTCACTTTCCTTTTGAGCTTCTTAGCTACGAGATTCATTATTAATTATCTCTCACTGTGCGGATAGCATGCGGGGTTAAGTCATTAATGACTGAGCTTGAAGAGAAAGACAACGATGCATATCTGCGTTGGTTTATAAATGGTATTCTGCATTTAACAATTACCAAGTTAGCTATAATTTGTTAGAATGACAAAGGGTTTTAGGTGTTTTAAGGTTAGTCTTTATCATATACAGCAAAGGAAGTTAAAATGATCTCCTGATATGTATATGAAGGTAAGTTATTAATGTTCACCATGACTAATAATTCAAATTGAAGGATGACATTTCAAGTTCAATTATGTTTCATTAATGCTTTTGAAGCTGGACATTTAGGATAGAGGAAAGCCATTTCATATGTGGTTTTTGTTCCCTGCTTGCTTAAGCAGGGATTTAGAAGGAGTGTAATGGAAAGATTTTTGGTTGCTTTGAATTACTTTTTCCTAAAAAGGATAATGGTATACACAGGCTTGGCATTACATTTTCCTAAAAAGGTTTTCCTTACATTTCATTTCTACCTCACGTCATGAAATTAAGTTTATGCTTGGCGCATGTGCGCACACACGCATTAAATTTGTTATTTGTACCTTTCCTTAAACAAGGGCATTTATTTATTTTATTTTAAAGTTTGTTGCTGTTGCGTGTTTTCTCTCCGGTTAATGTAGTTTTTTAATAAACTCACTGGTCGTGTTCATTTCTTCTCCTTCTGGTTTCTGATCTAGCTAATTCAAATTTGTCTACACAGTTTTGGCATAGATTGAATTGTAAAATTCTTCTTGTACCAGTGTGTTGTTCTTTCCCCTAATATTGTATTGTTCTTTCCCTAATATTGTATTGTTCTTTTCGTGGTGATATATTAGAGAGTTGAGAATTGTCTATCGAAGGTAGAACAGTCACCTACAACGTCAATGCAAACTGCGCTTTCTCCATCACAGAACGCATTGGTCGCTGAGGAACTTTTCAGGCATCCAAATCCCGATGTCAAAGTTGGTGTTGCAGCTTGCATCAGTGAGATAACAAGAATAACTGCACCTGATGCACCTTATGATGATGAGCAAATGAAGGTAACTGGGATTTAGATCACTAAACTGATTATTTATTTGTAGAGTCTGCTCATGTTACATTTAGAAAAAATTCATTAAACCTTCTAAATTTTATGCATGCAGGAAGTCTTTCATCTTATTGTATCTTCCTTTGAAAATCTACATGACAAGTCTAGCCGATCATACGCAAAGAGGGCTTCGATTCTTGAAACTGTTGCGAAGGTCAGATCGTGTGTGGTGATGTTGGATCTTGAATGTGATGCATTGATCGTTGAAATGTTCCAGCATTTCCTTAAGGCAATAAGGTACAAAGTCATAAGTAGAGTTGGAGTCACCACTTTATGTGTGTATAGACTATAGATACTATATTTATTATTTGTTTCCGCTTGTGGAGTAAAACTTGCCAGCTGATATGTTCTAGAAAACGCAACATTATATATTTGTATTTTTATATATTCCAGGGACTATCACCCAGAGAATGTTTTCTCATCCATGGAGACTATTATGACTCTTGTTCTAGAAGAAAGTGAAGAAGTTTCTGCTGAGCTACTATCTCCCTTATTAGCTAGTGTGAAAAACGACAATGAGGTGAATAATTGTTTTTGATTGACCATTGGTACTTTCTACATCGTTTTATTTGTCAACTTACTAACCATTTATTTCTTTGCAGGATATTCTACCAATTGGACGAAAGTTGGGGGAGAGAGTACTTGAAAGCTGTGCCACTAAACTTAAGGATTACCTGGTAGAAGAAGTAAAAAGCTTGGGCATTGTTTTTGATGATTATAGTAAAGTTGTAGCCTCGATCTGCCAAGAGGCAAGTGATGATGCTGAACAGAATGAAGGCCGTGATGCTGATGGAAATGTGGTAAGATGTTCATAGTTGCAAGGTTAAGACATTTTATACGCATTTCTTTTGTTCATAATGATAATTGTGTAAAACTTCATAGTTTTCTGTTTCCTCAACAAGGTTATCTTTTTGATCCCTGATCCACGCTCTCATTCCTTAACTTGTTCAAAAACATTGGTGTTTATAAATTTGTTTTTTCATTTTCTTCTCTGGGGGGTGGGTGTTGGTCTGGTTACTTTGGTTGTTCTTTCATCCACAGTCAAACAGCCCGTAGTTGGCTGTTGATAACGTTACATTGATTTGTCTTTGTGAACCAAGTCAGCAACTTGGGATTCCTCTCCTCTGCTGTACAACTTGTATTAACTTTTGCTACTGCAGGCTGCCGAGGAGAAGTCAGCAATTAGAGAATCTTCCGATGAGGCAGCCCAGGTGAGTTTCTTCTGTCAATTTCTTCCTTTTTTCTTTCTATTTTATGTACTTTATGCTTC